TCTTGCAAACTGCCTGCAAGGTCATGCATTTTTGAATTTTTAAAAAGTCACATAAAAATTTTTTGAAAGAGATTGCACAGAGCCTTGTCCAGCAGAGACTTGAAGCTCTCCAAGGCCACTGCCTCCGCAGGCAAACTTCTCCCCTGCTTTATCATTCACTGCAAAGAATGTCATCCCTATGCCAGGTAGGAATTCCTCTCTCTTCGAACTGAGGGCACTGCCCCTCCTGCTGCTGCAGCAAAGCACTGAGAGGAATCTGGCATCATTTTCTCTGTAGACTGTAACTACATCCCCACACCACATTATCTTCCCAACACACACAGTTCCCCCAAGACTCTTTTCACAGCCCCATAACCAGCCCGTAGTGATCTGATGGACTCGAGTTTATCAGCAGCTTTACAGCTGACGTGGGTAAGATCACCTGAATCAATCAGGTGACTCTGAACTTTGAACATGCTCTTTGTTCTCCACGTCTTTCATAATGAAACTGAAATATAAAGCTCGAGTGACCTTGATTTCGGTAAGCACTGCCTAGCAACAACGAAAACATCAGCCTGTTATCAATGTAATTGTCAAACTGAGTCCAAAACATAGCATTGTGCCAGCTACTGAGAAGAAAGTGAACTCTAGTCCTGCTGAAACCAAGACAATGGCATAATATTTTGTACTTTGCACCAAGCTAAAGACTTGGTACGCAAATTAATTTCTGTGTTTTCTAAAGGGGTGCCCGTAGGAGAGAGTCACTCTCTCTGGAAACATGGCACGAACAGCAGCCCAAACCAAAAGCATCTGTTTAAATTTGCACTGCTAAACCAATTAAAGGAGATCTGGGCAGCTTTAAGGAGGACTGTGTTGCTTGTAAACCCCTGTTTTGCAGAGTTCGCAGCACGGACAGCGCGGTTTGATTGTTGGGTGCCAGTGCCCTGCGCTTCAGGGGGACCGGGCGCCGCGGCCTCTGCGCCCCTCAGGCCCCGCTCACACCGAGTGAGGGCTGGCCTGGCAGCGGTAAAATCCGGCATGGCAGAAGGTTAACTCATAAAAGGGAGTTAAGTTGAAATAAATAAATATATAGATAAATAACTAAGCAAACCCCAAACCAAACGCACCTTTCAGCTCAGAAAGCCCGCTCCGGCAGCCCGGCGCCCCTCAGCCGCCGCCCCGAGGCCCCGCGCTCGGCGGCTGCCGGGGCTCCACAGCGGGACACGGCACAGAGCAGCACCACAGAGCTGCTTCCCGGCTTCCACCCCTCATCCCAACCAGGAAACCTGCGGGAGCCTAATCCCGGCCGCGGTGCTGAGCACCTCACACCTGAGGGGATGAATTAAACTTCCACAAAGTATCTGCAGCTGTGCCAGGCCGGAGCTCAGCTACACCGCGAGCCTGCCAGCAGAAAAAGCTGCTGTGCCTGCCAGTTTCAAATAAGGATGGTGATGCTGGCTTTGAGCAGCGTGTGCCATTCTCTGCTGCCTAGGCAGGTGTCCCCCTTACCTTTATAAATAACCCACTTGTATCAACAAGTGAGTGCAGGTGCTCGTCTTTAGGCAAAGCAGGGGGGCAGGTGCGTCTGCTAAACGTGCAAAGGAGCTCAGCTGTGTCAGCAAAATGATTCCTGCTAAAATAGAATGGCCTTGGGTGGCTGACCCACCACAGCAACCAAAGGTTTTCCAGGTGCCTCATTACACATCAGCCCATCTTGTCCACAATGTCTTAGGATTTAAACAACCTGCCCCTACGCTCCTGGAAAATTACAGAATACAAGAAAATATAAAGAAAAATCTCACTCAGTTTCATTGGTAGTCAGTGGGTGTTACCTTCATGAATCCAATGCCAATCTAAATCAACTACTGGCACAGTTGGGATGATTTCTAACACTGCTGTGGCCAGGTTTGGATTTCTATGAGATATGAAATAGCTTTTGCCATGTTGAATACTTTGTGAATTTCAAATGAGGTTTCTATATATTTTCACAGAAATATATAAAAGGTAGCACTACATTTTACAGAGTGAACATGCTGAAAAAAATCCCTATAAATAAGCTCCAATTCAGGCCTGTAACCAATCTTGTGAACTGCAACACAGAACATTATGAGTCTAGATAGGAAGTTTTAAACATAAAAGCCCCTTTATTAGAATAGCACAGGCAAAGAACCACTAGGGTATTTCTGCTTTGTCCAGCTGCAGAAAGTTCAACATCACCTGGAATTCCCAGCACATTTTCTAAATCCAAGCCAGCACCAAAGCCTGGTTTTGATTTTGAAGTGAGAAATACCCTCATACTCAACATATCATGGGGAGATTGAAGCAAGCTCTACTCTGTACTGGCTATGATATGGACCAGTCCAGCTGGAAACCATGCAAAGGGAGCTCCTTGCTATTTCAACTATCAGAACTACACCTACAGCAAGTAGTGGCACACTCAGCACACACTGCCAGCTGCTGCTGGGCATGGGAGCCCTTTTGCTAGAATGTGACATTTTGGGGTTTATTGTCTGATTAGGAAACTGGAAATAGCTTACCTGCTTGTACTCATCAGAGTAAGAAAGAGACAGATTGCTAATATGAGAAACATTATAAAGAAAAGCCTTATACATGTAGCATTTTTTGTTATCAAAAGTTCTTCTAAAAAACAAGAATAATACCTACCTTGATGTTCATTCACTACATGGGCTACCAGATAAGAACTTTTATATCACAATTGCTGCACCTGCTTTTAATTATTAAAAAGTTTCTTTATACTTTCATAGCACATTACTCACTGGTAGAGGACTTGCCAATTCAGCCCTGTAATATTACCAGTAAATTTGGTAGACTTCCTACACTCTGATTCATTCTGTATCTTGCTCATTTCTGCAATGCTGAGTGGACCAAGCAGTATTTTCAAGCCTGTCAACTGCCAGGTTCTTAATGCCCAGGATGAGTAGTATCTGAAACAAACACAGTAATTGCACACTTGTGTTCTGCCCCAATTTTACAAAACGTTTTTTCAAACTCAACTTGCCTCACTTGGCAAGAGTACAAGCACTGCTGTCCTGGTAAGTAAGAGGGTCATTTATCATCATATAATGGTTTGGGTTGGGAGGGACCTTACAGACCATCCAGTTCCAGCCCTCTGCCATGGGCAGGGACACCTTCCATTAGATCAGGTTGCTCAGAGCTCCATCCAACCTGGCCTTGAACACTTCTAGGGATGAAGCATCCACAGCTTTTTTGAGCAACCTGTTCCAGTGCCTCATGACCCCCACTGTCAATAATTTCTTCCCATTATCTAACCTAACTCTACTCTCAGTTTAAAGCCACTGTGATGCATTTCTCAAAGATGTCTCCTTCCTTAGGACTTTTGAAAAGGCAGAAATTTCAAATTGTCTCAAGCCACCACTAAACAGAATAGTTTGTTTTCTTGATGTGTTAAAAAAAATAGGCATCATTCCTAATAGGAGCTCTCACTACAATAATATAAATATTCAGATAATTTCTGAACTTAACACTGCAACACCAAAGCAACCACATGAATACACTGTTTCTTTCATGAAAAAGAAAGCCCATTTGTGCATTTCAAACAATGGAAAAGCTTTGTCAATGAAACTGGCCTTTGGAAGAAACATACATAACTTAACACCAGGAGTTAACCCCCTGTTTTGAGCACAACTCCCTTTCTAAAGACCACTTGGTTTGGGTTTTGCTGGTTTTTATTTCAGTCATCTACTTGAAAATGAAACAAATGTACCATTGGTGCCCTAGGAAGTTAATATGTATAACAAAGACTCTATTTAAGTTGTCTTACAGGGCCATTCAGAAAGAACACTAGAATTTAACATAAAAAGTATCAGCTCCTTCTGCAAGAGCAAAATATAACTAGATCATTCCAAATAGAAACACTAACATTTTCTACATAAACCCCAGACACATGGAAAACAGCTCCGGGAAGTGAGCTGCTAAGCTCATGATTCACTGGTTGTAGTCAGCATGGATTCAGCAAGGGGAAGTCAGACTTTAGCAACCCTCTGCACTGAAATGACTGCCAGGAGCTGAAGGGAGAGCAGCAGATGCTGCCTGCCGAGACCTCTGCGAGGGCTGTGACACTCCCCCAAAAGATCCTGGTTAATGATGATGGGCAGAGCATGCCCTCAGCAAGGCTGCAGGTGACACAAAACTGGGAGTGGCTGATACACTTGTGGGTCTTGCTGCCATCCATAGGGATCTCTGCAGGCTGGGGAAATGAGTTGTAGAGGAACAGTCCCATACACTGATACATACACAGTGATAACACCCTGGGGCCATCTAGATGGAATAACCCCTTTGCAGAGAAGGCTCTGGGATCCTGGAGTTGAACAGGAGCCAGCAGTGTGCCCCAGACCAGGTTGATGGCAGGGGCAGCACCAGCAGGATGACAGAGGTGATCCTTCCCATTACTTATAGGAGCAGTGCCCAGTTCTGGGCACCCCAGCATCCAGTGTGAGACACACAGACATAACTGGCAGTCCAACTAAAAGCCACAAAGGCATTCAGGGACTGCAGCACCTCTCTTACGTGAGGTAAGAGAGGACAGGATGAGGCAGCAGGAACTGTTTAGCCAGAAGAAAGCTCAGGGAGACTCTTATGAACACTTATCATCATCTGAAGTGGGGGTGCAAAGATGGAGCCAGGCTCTTGTCAGTGATGCCCAGTGACAGGACAAGAGGGAGTGGGCACACACTGGAACCCACAAGGTTCCATCTGAGCACAAGAACATACTTTTACTGTGAGGCTGACTGAGAACTGCAGCAGGTGGCCCAGGGAGAGAGTGTCCTTCCTTGGAGATCCAAAACCATCTGGACATTTTTCTGGCCAACAAGACCTAGACAGGATGGCTGGAGCAGGGGGCTTGGACAACATGACTTCCAGAGGTCCCTCTCAACCTCAACCAGCCTCTGAGTCTGTGAATAAACAAATACACGGAAGTTTTGGAAAAATGGCAAATTTATTTTTTTTTAAATATAAAAAGATCATGGACTGCATAGAAGTATGACTTCAGTCTTCTGAAAATGTTACTCAGCATTCATTCACACTTGGAAAGTCCCAGTAATATGGCAGGACACAAAACAGACTAACAGTTGCCTACAATGTATGCATTTGCATTCAATTTGAGTTAATCTGCATAACAATATTTTAAAATAAATCAAATGCACTTATCCAAACAAAGTCTGATTCAAAGTAGATTTTAAGTATATAAAAAATACAAATAAAGTCTTCAAAACTTTAATTCTTTGGATAAAACAATTTTTCAATTATTTAAAGATAAGTTACCTCTATAGTAGTAAGAAATGTAAACATCAGATACCGTGATAAAAATCATAAGGAATAACAGCTTTGTCATAAAGTGCTGGAATAAGCTATCAGTTTTATTTTCCAGATGCTAAAAAATAATTGTAATTTCAATTCAGGAATATTTTGAAGAATTTTAAATTATAACAATTTTTTAAAACATTCTTCTTTACCTTTATCTACACAGCTTTTTGGCATTTTCTTCTTTATCTCAAGTAAACTTTAACTTCTACATATATATCAAAAAAATCTGTGGTTTTAACTTACCCAGTTCAAACTGGAATCCATGATGGTGGAAAAAAATCAAAAGGTCAGGTAAGACTCAGCTGGGAAAAGCCAGGGACTTTGAAAAGTAAGGGTGTAAAGTACCTGAGCACAATCCAACAGCTGCCTCCTCCTGCAAAGTAATTCTGTAATTATATATACAATCAGTACCACTGAAAAAAGCTCCATGAGAATTCATACACAGGGGAGACTGTGTGGTTCCCTCACACCCAGCTATCAGGGCTTTGTCTCTGCTGAACAAACCCATTACTTCATTTCACATGAAATTAAGGCTTGGAGAACTATTCCTACTGACAAACACAAGCTGAAAAGTTTTACATGCCTTACACCTCTGCTTTCCACTTGTCCACATAAGCATTCCCCCAAACCAAGATATCAATCCTGAATCACCCCATGTGTAACGGTGACACCTTATATTGGAATCTGTTTGGGAAAAACCTGCTCTTTCCTTGTGTGAAGAAAGATAAAACATAACCTTTTACCACCTATCAGGTTCACCTCTCAATCATATTCCAAAATGCCAATCTGCCTGACTACTGAAAAATCCACAGGCACACTTGAAAAGGATTATCAGATTGTGGTATTTTATTACAGAAAACAAATCCAATTTAAAGACAATTAAATTTAAGCTTTGAAAAGTGGAAAATCCCAAAATATTTCAAAGTGGCATTTGCTTTCAAAATATCTACGTGAGTTTTAATAAATTCACTGCCCAAAAGGCTCCCAGCGTCTGATATGATTAAGGGGCTTATTTTATGAATATTAGTTTCAGGCTGTTAAGGCACAACTGGCATTTGCTCTAAGACAAAACTTGACACAGGCATTATTACCTTAGAGCCAGAAACAAGTGGAAGTGGAAGGCACAGAACTTTAAAAAAATACCACTAACCAAACCAATTTTAAAGGCTTAAAACATTATTAGGTAGTTTGTCTTTAAATACTAACACACTGCAGTCCATTTCTCAGAGCAGGCATGAAGCTGAGTAATTATGGGCAACACTAATTGACAGCAAGATGCACTTCTACATTAGAGGGGCACAGAGAAAAGTTGTTCATTGCAGTTTCACTGGCAAAAATGGTTATTTTCAGTTTACTCAGTTTCACTCCTTTTAGGCTTTGTGTTTTGGGGCTTGTTTGTGTGGGGTTTTTGAGGGGGGATTGTTTTGGGTTTTTTTTTTTTAACATAAGGAAAAATCAGTACAGATAGATTATACTATTTCAAAAGTTTGATAAAAACAAACCACCAAGTTCAAATATTCACATCAGCATAGGAACCTCATCTTCAAACGTAATTTATGGTAAGAAGCCAAGACCCACAAGCACTGACAATACACCTGTTTTCTATACCAAGTGTTGCAGAGATGCAACACAGCGTAACCACATAGAATATGCATGATAATGCCCAAGTAGACCAGATCTATAAGGTAGAACTACTAGTGATGCTAGAGGGAAAACAGGTTTCCAAATGGCCCCAACAGATGTACCATAGTTCCAAAACATACCAAATTTAGCCTCTATTTAAAGTGGTGAGAACGGTAGCAAGCAACTCCAATAAACCAGCAAGATTCAGCCTCCCTTCTTCCCTTCCCAATTTCTTACTAAGGGTAGTCCTAAAAGCATGCATGTGTTCAACTACTGTTTGGCAAAGACTACATTTAAACTCACTTGCAGGTTTCAGTTTGTTTGCTCTAGCATCATCTTTTGACTAGAACTTGAAAAGTGCAAAAATATTTAATTATATCTTCTTAAAAAAAATAATTCATTTTATTGGCACAACTCCAATTCCTCAGGAGTTAAATCCACTGCCAGCAATGGATAGAAAAGGAGGCACCAGTATAAAAGAATCAAAGTGCATTTCCAGTTTGCCAATGCTGCATGAATTGGCAAGCCAGAACCTTTCTTTCACCACTGGAACAGACTATGCTGAATGCATTTCATGAAAAGTCTGTATCACACATCAACACACAAAGTCTGTCACGAAGTCTTGGGGATACTGCAAAGAATCATCAAAGCGGAAGCGTTTGGAGAGCGTACTGCTGTCCTCTGGAATGTTCTCCTTGTCCTCCTTGTCGCTGCAGCTACCACTGCAGCTGGATTTTACACTCCGCTCTTCTGAGCACTTTGTGGTGTGTCCTGGCAGCTGAAAGGAGCAGCAAGTTTCTTCAGGGCTGCACAGGAGTGTGAGCTCTCCTTGCTGCAACCACGAATGGGAGAGACAGTCCGCTGCAGTGGGCCTGTCCCTTCGGAAGGAGAAAGGGAAAGGTGCTAAAGTTAATTTCACCAGTACTAAAAATCTAAAATAGCTCTGATTCTAAAAATCCCAAGCAAAATTGACACTGAAGAGTCAATATTGGTGTGTTTTCACTCCTACCTCAGCTGCTACAAGTATTGGGTACATGCACCTAAATTTAGTTGATGGATTACCCTAAAGCTGGTAAGCTTTCATCAGAACAAGGAATAAAATTCCTGGGAATGTTTTCAACACAGTCCCTTGGAATGTTTTCAACATGGTACACATAAATGGGCACTTGTTTTTGCTTTTCAAGTCATATGTTTTATACAGACCATAAATAGTGAGCCTCATGAATTATTCAGTCATTATGCTTTCAAGGATAGCCAAATTAACAGGATGTCATCAACTCTGACATTTTCTATTGTTTTACTCTTGCAATTCATCTAGCATAAACCCTTCAAATTGTAGATCCTACCAAATAAATCAGACTTAGAAAATTGCTCCTCTGGATAACCTAGTACAGTGCTACTGCAAGTTTTAATTGTGTTCTGCATTGTTAACTTCCACAGAACTTGGCAGAAAACTGGCTCCAAGGCAATAGAGCCCACTACTTGTCCTTAACTCTGCCAGAACATGGGAATATTTTTCACTCAGAAAAGTGTAACTTTACAGAGTTAAACTCTGTTTAAGAGTTTTCCTCTTAAAATTCAAGGAGGTGTAGTCATCAAGAGTCGGAATGGGGAGAAAAAAAAAAGGCAGCTTATTGAGGATATAATGAAGATTCTCTAGATGCCCAGGAGAAAGTGAGTAGTAATGGTGACAGAATGTCAAATACCCCACAGGTGCACACTAAGAGTTATCAATGCAGGTTCTTCATCATTGATTCCTTTTTTCTAGGTGCTCCACAAATATGAAACATAAGATTCCCTCATGATACTGGTGTTTTGTGAATCATTTCAGATCCTGACAAACCATGTATGTGAGATGTTAAGACAGGAAGGACTCTTCAGACATGCTTTATAGGGAGGCCTCAGAGCAGCCACTTCCCAGGAATCACCTCCTATCCAAGAGCCTCTCTCAGCCAGGCAGGCTCACTTCTGCCTGCTGGAGGTTCTCTGAAGCTGACAAGGATTACTGTCTCACCTCACTGGTGGCAATATCTAGCACTGCAATCAATAATACCTGACCAGCTCACTTCTCAAAGTCCAGCTGCTTTGCAAGGTCTTGATTAGAGTCTGAACTGAAGAATGCAGAGTTAAGGGAGTGTGCCTTACAAACAAAAAAAAATTTCACTTTGGATTGAGAACATTTTTAGAAGACTGAACAAGGCAAAGCACTGCCAAGTATAAATATATAATAAGAGATGTATTTAAGTAAAAAGATAAAGGTAAATCAGGAAACAAGAAAGCACTGCAAAGAGCACTGCCTTTCCAAACTACAATAATTATAGAAAAGAATGTGATTTTTCCAGAGTATGCTTTAATAAAATCTTAAAACATCTGTCATCTGAATGAAAACATAAATAAACTCAAACTAAAAAAACTCAAAGAACAAGCCTGACTAACAATAATGTTATCTGTAAAAATAATAAAAATAATATCTGACAATTTTAGCCAGCCGTTGAATGCAAGATTCACACTTTATGGAAAAGCATGAACCTGCACTTTTAAATATCCAGTTGAAAATACCAATGCATTGTGAAATATCCAGCTGATCTTATCAGTGACATTAAGCACATAAACTAACATTCACCTTTTCTAGGTGCTCCACAAATTTAGGGTTCTTGCCAGGAGGAGTTTGCTACTTACTCTGGATTTTTTATGAGAAGTTTTTGAATGAAGTCTTTTGCAGGCTGTGAAACTGATGAAAATGTTTCTTCTGAATAATCCACGTTAACTTGAGATATATTAAGGTAAGTTTCTTGAACATCAGCTCCCACAAACGGAGATTCTTGTGTCAACAGCATGTATGAGATGACACCGATGTTCCTGAGATAAGAACACAATGTATAAACCTACTAGAGACCAAAATATATAAACCTACTAGAGAACTTAAGCAATACATCTTGCATATGTTTACTGTGCTACAGATCAAACTTCCTGACATATCCCACACTCAGAATTATAGCAAACATGCTACACCTCAATTTTATGTGATTCAAGCATGACTGCACATACACACACAAGGAAAGGTATGTGTGTATACATCTCAATGAAAGGATTGTTGAAAATTGTTTAATTTCAATATACCCTTTTCTTCCTACTGAGATTGTTAGGAAAAGGAAATACCACTTTTACACAGCCCACTCTTGGGCAGTTCTGGGTAACAGAGCTGCAAAAAAGACATTCTAATCTGCATGCAAATAAAACCCATCCTTCACTGTAATTCTGGATGACAGAGCAAAGACTTTTAATCAACCTCTGTGTACATTTGACACCTGAGTTGTGTTACAATCTCTTCTAGATGAGATGTTTCTCCCAAGAACATGAGCACCACATCATGCAATCTATTATAAATCTTAAGATGGTTTCTTGATGCATAATAAAAACATATCTGTGGTCTATCTGATAGATCAAAATTTAGCACTCATTGCAGTGTGGAAATATGCAGCTGCTGGGTTTGTCATTGTGAGCAGAGTGTCAATAGGGTTTTTTTATGTTTTCCCACAATAGCAGGCAAATAACACATGATTAAAAAAACATTAATGAACAGATTTAGTTACTATTATGAGTTGAGGATTTCAAAGGAGCAATTAGCAACTTTCAACAGTGAATTTTAATTAAGATGCTGGAGTTCATGTTTTAAAGGAAATATTTCAAAGCTAGTCTTTAATATAGTTCATAAAATTAAAAAGCCACAAAAAGTTGTGGGTCAGTTCAAGGTACCTGTCATTTTTTATGATTCATTCTGCAGATATTTCTCTAAAAATAAAAAGTAGGAAGTTTACATCCTTCTTTTCATTTGTATAAAAAATATTTAACGATGTAGAAGTGGGGAGGGAAGTATCCTAGAGTAGCTAATACCTGAAGCATGTCATCCAGGAGTAAGTAATACCTAAAGTATGTTATCCAGCCACTGTTATTATTCCCTCAGAACAAACACCTATTCTCTACAGGCTCAGAAGCCACCTGCATTCCCCACTAAGTGTGCAACAGACCCATAAAACCCAAAACTCCTGCAAGCCCCGAGTTATATCCTGAGGGCTGCTTCTCCTCCCCTCCTTCCCTCCCTCTTTCAGCCAGCCCACCAACAGAAGAGGATTCTTGGAAGCCAGATGAAATTGAATCAGGCCCTTAGATTGTTAAGGGGTCAGTAAAATGAAGATAAAACCTACCACATGTCTGTAGCTGTGGTAATGGGATCATAGTTCAGGATTTCTGGAGCTAAGGAGATGGAAAGAAGAAAAATGCTTTAATAAATATGTTATTCAAATGGCCTTGAATCATACACTACATTTCTGGCATTCTTTTGCCAACCATTATTGAGATACTCAACATGTAGTTTCAATAATTACGTTTATTATTTCCAAGCCATAAGGGTGGCAAACAAGTTGTTTCCGTTTGCCTAGACATGGATGTTTATTTGGTTCACACCAAAGTGGCTGTACACAGCCTGAAGTTTATCCAGGTTCCAAAATGGGTTCCAATCAGATGCATGCACGTCAATTTTTCTCCTAAGAGGTTTTGAATTATACAGCTTTTTAAGGGGAAGGTATAAACCCTTCAGCATGTTAAAACTGCAAAACAAGATGACCAAGCCAATTTTAAGATCAGTGGCTGTTAGCATAGGCTAGGTAGCAAGTTACTCACTGCAGAATGAAGTGCTCTTAACATTGAGTGTTGGCAAATCATGAAGGAAACTTGTCCCTCGGAGAAGGGCAAGTGTTAACAGCAATCTTTCCCTTTCCAAGGAGTATTTTAATCTCATTAAATCATCATATTGAATAACATTGAAGATGTTACATTAATTCAAAGAACATTTTTTTTTGTGCATGCTAATGTTGTATTTCAATTCTAATTGGAACAATTTAATAGCCTGTATCCCAGCAAATACTATGGTATAAAATCAAGAGATGCACTTATTGATAGAATTTGGGATTTTTTGGTGCAAATATTTGTTGACTGCTCTTAAAAAAGAACAGTTCAAAACATGTTGTCTTGTCCTGTGACCTTCTTTATCAGATATTAAGCTGCTAAGTGTGCTATGTGAACTGTTCCTGTTTCCTCAAAAGCCCACACAGATGTTGTGAAGTAGCCCTCCCCTACCGAGATACTCTGTTGTTCCCATGATCTGCCGCAGTTCATTGGAATTCTCAAGCTTCCGGGACATCCCAAAATCTACAATTTTTACATCACCAAGAGGATTGAGACTGCTCAGCAAAATATTTTGAGGCTAGAATAGAAAATATTGCATTTGTAATTAATAAAATACAATCTGAAAAAAAGCCTAATGTACTAAATAACATTTCATCTTCTATTTTGCAATCATTATTGCTAAATATTTATTATACTTTAAAAATATTTAATCTCTATCCTTTTAATCTCATTTTAATATAATTTAATCTCCTTTTTTGTCATCTTTTTATGTATTTACCAAATGACTTCAATGAGTATAATAAACTGAAAATAAAATGCTAACACAAAGCCTGCTGCAGCCTCACCTTTAAATCAAGATGAACAATATTGTTTTCATGCAAGCAGCAAAGTCCTTCAAGTATTTGCCTGATAAGCCTTACAATATCCCTTTCACCAATTCTGTCATCCAGATCTGGGACACACAAGTCAAATATTTCTCCTCCAGCAGCACTGAAACACATTAAAGAACACCTATGTATTAAGTTTATATTTTGAAGCTTAAGTGAGGAAAAATGTTTTCAATAGCACATATTCATCTAACATATATCTGTAATATCAGAGGGGCCGGGAATATTTTTTTTACACATTTACACTAAAACACTTAATATAAACACTTAGAAAAGGGAAAAAAAAATCTGATTATGATTTTTCTTTCCCTATAGCCTCTAAAAGCAGTTGAGACAGAAAGAAGTTCCTTTGACTGGTACCCTCATAATTCTCTGGTTGGTCCCCTCAAGCAAGTTGGAAGATGCCTTCCAGAAGTTGAGTTCTATCATCACTCCCTAATCAAAGAAGCCTTTCTTTTCAAGTCAAATCTAAAATTTCTTCCATGAGACCAGTTCATAAATAATGCAGAGCAGTGTAAAGCAGCATGGAAATATCTGTGTTCCTGTGGTTTATGAGTTATTCCTACACTTGGCTGCAGTGTCAGCTGTCTCCTTTCAGGCTGGGTTTGAGATCATTACTCAGCCTGCTCTGAGTGCCTGAAGTTTCCCTCAAAGATGAAAGGCTTCCTCAAAACTACAGATCGCTGAGGCTAAACTTCATTGCTAACAAAATAAGAGTCTATTAAGAAGTCAGACAACGGACAAAAGGAATGAACACAGCCACAAACCTGCTGAGGTTACGGGAGGTGGCAGTAATGCCCCCCCTAGGTGACTTTATGACAACGTGGACATGAGGGGATGGGCAGAGGACGCCATGAATTTCAGCTCTCACAAGGTTGTCAGCTCCCACAGTATTCCTGTGTTCAAGTTACATTACACCCATATTCGATGGTGGGCACCCAGATGGGCAAAGAGCTGAAAGCTCTGCACTAAAGGATTTGCACAAAAATCCTTAGAACAGCAAATAATATGTTAGGGGTCATCTAGTTCCAGGGGAAAAAGGCTTTTTAACACGGAATCTAGCTAAATGCCTTCAAGTTTTCCAAATGATATATCATGGTGTATGGAGACCACCATTAACAGCACTTCAAATACTTTGTACACAAAACTTAAAGCTTAGAAAAAATTCATTTCACAGGCTGTATTTTTCTTCCTTACATTCCACACAAAAAATTTACACATACAACAAATATGATAGATAATTCAAATTCAATTCCCAAATTAAACTAATTTTTTCAGGGCTAATAACATTTGGGGACATGTGTAAAAAATATGGGAATCTTTTAGGAAACTGCTCCAAAAGTCAGTTTTAAAATAACAAAACTACTAAATTCAGGAGTTCAAAACAAACAAACTAACTGTAAGTCTTCAGTCACCAAAAGTGCTAACTTGAAGTTCACAGGCATGGATATGCTCAACCTCTTTGAAATATGTGTACTTGGTATCAGTGACTTATTTTTTTTGGTGATTTAAGTTGCATCAAAGCACTCAGGACCTTCTATGGTATTCCAAGAACATTTCCAATCACCTTGCCTGAAACATTCTTAAAGGAAAAAAATATAAAGTATACTATAATGAAAGATTAGCATAATGTTTACAGGGTACTGTTGCAATTCTTCTGGGCATTCAGGCAATTCATGCAAAAAAATTAATACATTGAAAGATTTTTTTTCCTACAGACATGGAATATGTGATGAAGATATACTTACTATTCCAACACTAAGATGATTTCATTTGCTGTTTCATAGACCTCATGGAGATTAACTATGCGAGGATTGGATTTCATTAACTCAAGGACAGCAATTTCATGCAGAATCTCTGCTCTGCAGTCTTGACCTCGTCTTCTTTTCTTTAAGAATTTAGCTGCATACTCTTGGCCTGTGGATTTAGCTACACATTTTCTAACCACAGCACATCTTCCTCTACAAAATAAAATGGAAAGCATTGAGATGCAGGAAATCACAAGTGTATAAATTAATATCAGAAATAAGAAGACAGAAAATAATTGGAAACAAACAAAAAAATGTATTGGGAAATGCCATGCTTGGCCTGCTCTTGCACTGTTTCCTGAACATTCACTTGCAGGCACTGTAGAAGGATACTAAGCTAGATGAAGCTCTGGTGCAACCCAGTAAAATTCCCTTTACACAGCCTAGCTAAACATTAAATCAGAGTATCAAGTTACAGGGACATTCTCATTGTCAGGTCACAGAATAATTCAGTTGGAAAGGATTTCTGGAGGTCTCTAAAAACCTCCTGCTTAAAGCAGGGCCAGCCATGAGGTCTTACCAGGCTGCCCAGAGGTCTGTTCAGGTTGGCAAGATATTAGAATACCCTCAACCTCATTACAACACCTACAGGACAACAACAAAGCAAACCCCTGTGAAATGTAGAGAATGAACAGGGAAAACAAAGCACATTTAAATGTATGGGTGGGGCAGGAGGTTTTCAGTGAAAAAAAAAAAAATAAAATGTAGTCATAAAGAGAATTTCCTTCCACAAACCATGTACTACTGCTACAAAAATCCTAGGTATCTGCAAAATGTTTCAAAACATCTTAATAGGAAAGCACCCACTAGCTAGCATTCTCTTCCTCAATTACAGTTAGACAAAGTGCGCTGCTTTATTTCCTAGCCAGCTGTTTAGGTATGGAAACAAAACCATATTTTGGCAAAGAAATGTTTTTAGAAGAAAACCACATACTGTAGTTAAAACATCAAGCTGATCTTTTAAAAAATTCGGAGGAAAAAATGCACTTTTTTTAAAGCCAAGTTATAAACTCCTGAAAAAAACAATTTCTTAACCACTAATATGGCATTCCCAGAAATGCCTGGTTGCATACATGCAATGTGTTCTCAAATGGTACAAGAAGCCTTATTTACAAAAAAACAACTTGAAAGGCTGCAATAAACTGTGAGTAAAGTTCTAAAAACAGTATCAAGCTATGTACAAAGTGCACAATCTACATTTATCTCTTCAAAAAAACCTTGTCTATTTTTTGTTACCACAGCATACTAAGAACAAACACAATGAAACAGGTCAGAACGAGCTGTGCTCTTTAACTAACTCTTTAGCTATCTGAGCTCTGCTCTTTAAACTAAATTAGCTTCTTTAGTAGAAAACACCACATTGCCTTGCAGGCTTTCCTTTTTTTCTGGTGCAAAAATCCCAGTGCTGAAAAGGAACATTTCTTGAAAAAAAAAAAAAAGTGTATTTTTTGAAAAAAATCTAGATTTCAGTATTTAATCAAAACGGGGATGAGCACCTCATGCAAAAAATCAATTTTCATTTGCAAATAATTGTACAAAAGTGCCTAAAATTATTAAATAGTTGAAGATGACTTTGAATCATAGTGCTATAACTTAAAAATAAATTCAACAAAACAGGCCTTCTGTCATCATTTCTTTCAACATCAATTAGTTGTAGATTTTCTCGATCCTCTTTTGAAAAGCAGTAAACTTTAGAAGTGAAAGTTATTTAGTCTGATACATACACACTCTTCACCTTAGCAACTACCTGTAAGCCTGAAACGGCCACGTCCTTTCCCAATTGTTAACCCAGCTCATTACTGCAGAGCATTTGAAGTTACTGAGCTCAATTTCATAATGTACCCAAGCTGAAAACACTCTCCCCTCCAGCTCACATTCTCTTTTTAGCATCACGTCAACCCTGCTAGCCACGAAAGTGTCTCTGAAGTTAACAAAGGGGAACCACTTTAGTTTCATGAGAACTGCAAGATCTTCCCCAGCAGTTTTGGCACATCTTCCTTGCGGCTGCTCTGCGTTTAACAACTTTGAAGGGTCAGTGATATCTCCAGATTTGAGATGTAAGAATTTCCTTCCACTCATTTATTAGCAGTGTTCCAATTAAGGCAAAAATTATGGCAAAAAATAAGACAATAAAGTGTTTTAGAGCTGTGGAAATTGCTCCAGAAACACAAGAAAGTCAGCTCGGAAGTGCTGCACTGACGCAAGTGGAGCAGTTCCCACTCCTTGCCTGTCTAACCATCCCCCTTCACAACCCAGCTCTGCAAGAAAAACTGATTTCAGGATGTTTTCATATCTCAGCTCAGAAACCACAGAAATTTAACTACTTCAAAAGAAGCCAAGCCACGCACACATCAGGGACAGAAGTACTTAAGCCACTAAACAGAACCTAACCTGCCAGCTTCATGAGTCAGTGTCTTAAATACCAAAGGACCCAACAGATAAGGGTGTGGGAGAAAGAAATGGGGCTTGGGAAGCTTAAGCAGAGAACAAGAGAACTATTTACTACATAATCTCGAGAGGAAAAAGAAAATTGCAAGTGAAAATTAAAGCATACTGAATCATTGAGAGAGATTACGAAGAAAAGAGGGATTTTATATCACTTAAAAAGCATTTATACACTTAAAAACATGAAAAAATACACAAGCAGTTAGTCCAGGAGAAATCACAAATATGTTTGTAAAACAGAGCTCTGCTTCTGTTTTCTTTGCATTTTGGCACTTATTTTGTTATGCCTGGTTTTGCATGCACAGAAAAAATTAAAAACTCTGTTCTGGAATTCACACAAAATCTACACTTTTGTTTGCTTTCGACATCATCTCACAAGTATGTAGAGTCTGAAAATCCAGCGTTGGAACAATACCTGAGTTCTAGAGGGTGCTGCATATAAACTGCTTCTGTAGAGCTTAGAATTCAAAAGCAGAGCTGACAAAAGTTAAGAAAAGAAGAAAAGTTATGGGCTGTAATCTGCACTTCTATAAAAATGTACCAGACAAAGCATATGCTAGAAAAAAAAAGGCTGAAGAGCTCACAAACCACATGCAGAAGAGCATATCTGCTAACAAAACGAGCTGTGGGGCAAAGGATCCTTATGCAGCAAGGCACAGCTGTGAGACTGACCCGGCCCACTTCTTCAGGAAGCTGGGAAACACGATCACAGCATCATGTTTGCATGGTTTCACACCCAATTCAAGGAGTATTTTCAAGGCATGAATTAACCCAGTGAGCTCAATACACATATTCACCTGTATGCCTGAAACAGTATCATAAATACCAAGAGTTTGGGTGTTTTGATATTTTATTTCCTATTTTACTGTTACAAACTAGAGCAAGGGAAGCAGGCTGCAAAACTGCTCTGAAACAGCAGCTTGTTTGAAACTCTGTCTAACTGCTTGAGGTTGGAAAAGGGAGAGAAAAGGTCCTTGTTTTCTTCAGAAAACTCACCCAAACACCTGGAACAGCCAACTCAAAATCCTTATTCTTTGTCTTACAGTGTCATCTCTTGTTTAGGCCATGCCCCTGGAATCTATGTGGGCTAGGCAGGGAAACGAAGATAATCCCAAATTTACATGCCTATGAAAACCCTCCAGATCTCTCTGACATGGAAAATGCTGGCAACTTATGCCTCGCTGTCCCTTTTCCTGTTCCCTAAAGAACCCACTGTGAAACAAAGAAGGGGACAGGAAAGGAGAGGTGCATACTTCCTTCTTCATCTCTTACCATAAAGGTTTGCTTCACTTTACAGAGAATTTTCTTGCAGCAGAAATTCCTCTTGCTCAAATAAAATAAATAGGAATAATCTTACCTTCCTAGCTCTTTTGATTCAAGCATATAAAAATTATGGAAGTTTTCTGTCTTGAATGGTGTGTGCAGAGATGTGGCCAACAAGCCAGAAAGGCTTTTATTCTCCAGCTTTCTCCTCGACATTGTCAGGAGCTTTTCTACAAGCCACCTGCTAAAGCAAAACAATTAATAGTTTTGGAAACTCCATAGTAACAGCATGAGAAAGTATACAAATACTACAGATACTACAAATTTAGGGCTATAAAACTATAACAGCCAGAACTTTGTTCAGTAGCAGCCTGAAAACAACACATTTAATCACTAAAAATAAAACCTGAAAGGAATATTAATCAGGACATGCTAATTTAATAATGTAAACACTTCAGATAAGTTGGGGTTTTTTTCTCCCTGGAGCACATCCATAAGATACTAGGGATAAGCTTTAGTTCTAATAAAAATGCTAACAGCTACTTAACTACTAATGAGATGTACCTTTTTTTAATCTTTCTGAAACTCCTCTCTGGATTCTGGCTAACTTCCACACTTTCCTTAAGCTTACACTTTTAACAGATATTCGTTCCTGGGGAAATTTACCAAAACTCTTCCTGTTTGTTAACTGCAGCACGGCAGGAGGACAAAGTGGGGTCCTTTTCCCAGTAGGAATATTCACATTTGTTATCCGGCCCACTCATAGCTCCTCTAAGTTTCCTTTTTGAGGCTGAGCTAATTGTCAGAGAGAAGCATGAATGGACAAGGTCCTCTTTGCAAGTTCAGATCATTTAGAATCAAATGATGTAGTAATCCTGATTAAATTACCTTAATAAACCAGTAGAACAGCACATTATGAAGATACACCCACCCACATAATTTCTACTACAGTGAAAAAAAAACCAAGACAACAAAACCAAACCAAATAAAAATACTGGGGTTTGGTATTCACATTTACAGGCCTGAAGCATCTCTTCAGGTGAAATGCAAAAGCAAGTGAGAAAAAGGTTACTGAAGGATACCAGAAGTAGTAATTGATGGCTTCTTTAACTTAAAGAGGTTTACCTTTATTAGTGAAAGGAAAAAAAAAAAAAAAGGGAAATTACAATTCAGAGACAGCAAACTCACAAAAATACACTTGCAGTTTAAATGGGAGAAATGCACTGTCAGACACTTCTGGGGACACTCAAACTAGTTATGATCCAAATGTAACCCAGTACCCATCCAGCATTGTTCACATTCCCATGTGGGATGGAACATGGATATTCATATTAGAAATATTTTGGATTCAAATCATCATACATAATTTAGCAGGGAAAAGACCCAAACTACACAGTTTAAAAATATCTTCAAAGCATCATCTGATATGCAGGAAATAGCTTCTTTAAGAAATTATGAAAAGGTCACAATACAATCTAATACACAAGTCTTTGACTCACTCTGTAACAAGCAAGCATTCCTCCTCCCACAATTATATGACAGTTTACCATTTAAGAGGACGATTTTGATGTCTGAAATTTTACATGCCTCTCCTTAGGGCTGTACTCACTCGATAACTTTAACCCCTAAACTGTATCTTTCTCCTACTGTACTTCAGCAGAAAACCATTTGTGTTCGATAACTGGCCTCATTAATTGTGAGTTTACTATTATCAGGTTTATTACCATTATCGAGTTTATTACGTAAGCTTTCATTTTACATGGTCGTCCGTACAGAGCAATTATTAAGGAGAGCTTCTGCCTCAGGTTGCCTTGACGTTGCTTTTCTGGTAAAACACCACATCTTCCTTTTTTTAGCTCAGTATAATCAAGAATAGAGAAGAACACATATCCACAGCAGGCAGAAACCCACAGAGAGGCATGGAATCTACTCAGAAGAATGAGGTTCAACTAGCTATGGGGGGAAAAAAAGGCTTCCCACTAAACTAGGGAAGTTTAACCGGGAAAAAAGTCAGCTCCTTTAACCCTTTCTGAAGACGTCGAATCCCCGGGCCGGGCCGGGCCGGGCCGGGAAGATGTCTGGCAGCGGCCGGGCGGGACCCGGCCCCGTACCCACGGGACAGCCTCGGCTCCCCTCACAGGCACCCCCGCGCTGCCGCCGGCGCGACACAGCACCGGGCGGGGAGGCAGCTTCCACCGCACCCAGACAGAGGCTCGGCTCGGCTCGGCTCAGCACCGCAGCCCCCCGGCCGGACACACTCACCGCTGGCCACCGCCCGCCGTCCCTCACAGCGCCGCTCCCGCTCACTCGCCGCCTCTCGGCGTTTGAAAGGCGCAACCCGGGAGGAGCGGCTGCCCCAGCGGAGCGAGCCAGGCCCCGCCCACTCGGCAGAACAGCCAATCCGCTCCCAGCCGCGGCGCCCAGAGGCCCGGCGATTGGCGGGAGCGCCCTCAGCGCGGGCAGCGCCCCCTGCCGGCCGCCCGGCCCCCAGCGGCAGGTGCGGCCCGGCCGTGAGGGAGCGGGGGTGCCGGGGCTCGGGTACCGCGGGGCGGCCGCTCGTGTCCGCACCTCGCGGGGTGTGCGGAGCCGCCGCTTCGGGCCACAAGGCACCGATGGCACGTCCCGATCCCGGAGCTGCGTGCCAGCCGAACCCCACAGCAAAGGCTCCTCGGTGCGTCCGCTGCATCCCCGTGCGCTGAGCAGCGGGGAACGACCGTGGCAGCGGGGCAGGTGCGCGGGCAGGTCCCGGTGCAGGACGCCATCCCGTGCATGTCCCCGGGCTGGGGAGCGGGGGACACGAGCCGCGTCTGCAGCGATTCCGCTCCGTCCTAGTGCGGGACGTGGCGGGGACAGAGCCGCAGCCGCGGGGACAGAGGCTCCGTGCTGGCCCCGCCGCCGCTGTGCGAGTGACGCAGCCGCGAAGGCTCGGCGACCACAGCACCGGCCCAGTGCAGTTAAAAACCCAGCGATAAACCAGTTCTCACCGACAGCTGCCGGGAACAGAGCCGCTTTCAGCGCTTCCGTATAAGTACACGGCTCGCAGGGAGCACGTTTGACAATCTCTTAGTCATGCATGCAAGTAGAAACAGGGTCTTCAGAGCCTCGTGAGAAGCCCACAAAAAAACTCAAAAAACTAAAACAAAAAAAAAAACCCAACAAAGTAAAAAGACTCTAACTTGTGCTTTCAAAGACTGTTTCCGAGGATCCAAAATAGCCTGAAGCATGGTTCAGAAATAAGCTGAAGTTAGAAAGAGTTCTAAAATAGTTGCAATTTGTTTGTCAAATTGATTTCCTCTGAAGCAATCCAACCAGCTAAGAAATTTGCAAACATCCGTTTTATAATAGATTTGTCATGAAGGCAGTAATAGTAATGTAGCATAAGAGTTTAAGAGTTGTATTTAATTTCAGCAGTGCACCATTAGAGTTACTGGGTTAATTCTGTTTGTGCCATGGCACTGCCAGTGAAATGGGTAATTGCTGTGTTTATTACAGTGCCTAAGTCATGCAGTCACAGCAAAGCTTGCATTAAGATGAAAGTACCATAAATGAAGATAAGAAAGCAGAAAGTGTTCTTGAAGAGTCTAGAATATGTCACACCACGTAGCTGGCACACTGAAGTACCTACTAAAAACATGTAAATCCTGCTTGCTTGAAGTTCCATCTGGCTTTTTAGCACTTTGAGCTGTGGATATTTTCGACAAAAGCAGTACAAAATCTACTTTCTCCCACTAAGTTCCACCATCTCTGCAGGGTTCCAGATCATACTGTTTCTTGACTATAACATGATTTCAAATACATCTCTCAAATAAAAATACAACATGTGGACAGGATTGGTTTTGTTGAGAAGTGCTCTTTGTGCAGTATGAAAAGCAGGCAGCATTCCAAACATACCAAATGAGCCACAGAGTAAATTTAAATGATGTCCACAATTAAGATGCTTCAGGTTATTATAGCACATGGTGCCAACAAGAAAATGACAGTGGTTATGTTTGTCTCCTTAGCTGTTTTTGTCTTTATTGATGCTCTGCAGGTTTTGCTCTACTCTCCCTTTAAGTTTTGAAAACCAAGTAAATACCAAAAATGCTTCATGACATGCATGTTATTGTAGTTCTTGGTTATCTGTTTATATAATGCCATAGAAACATGAATGGCACTTAGAGAAGGGTATAATTGACAGGACTCCACCCTGAGGACTTTGGAATTTTACTTAGATACACCACAACTGAGAAGGACAAACAAAGGTGGAGAAGGGGGAATGGGTAGGCTGAAGGTCACAACAGTACAGGATCAAGAACTATTATTATTCCTAATGTATACACCTGGTCTTTGGGATAATTAAAAAATAGCAATTAAAGGTGTTAGCTTCGTAACTCCCATTCTTAGTTACTTCTTCTCTGGCTTACCCTGATTATCTATCCATTACAAAGCTGTCTCTTTGCAGCCTTTAGAAGTTGTCATGGAAAGAACTCTTTCCACTTGATCAGCGACCATTTGGCACAGCAGTGATGCACAGCCCCCGGTGATCAGAGCCACAGGTGTTTTAGGGAGCCAGCCTTGTGGAAAAAGCTCAGCTCCCTTAGGAATGCTGATTTCAGCTCAGGTTTGTCATGGGTTGATGATGTTTGGAGAGAAGACATGGCAGCCTGTCCTCAGCAGGGAACCAAGGTGGGGACAAGCACATAGCATTATGAGCTGCACAGCTGGAAGCTCAGAGTGTCTGAGCCTTCTCCAACTCGTTTTTTATTTAATATAGGTATTTTTAAAAAATCTGATCTCCTCCCCCTATGCTAAAATCTCTGCACCACCTTCTCACACAAGGCAATCCTCAATGCAGTGGGAAATCTCTGGATTCCATTCAGACACTGCTTCCCACAGCTGCCTCAGTGTCACCCAGCATGAGCTCCAGGCCAACTCTGTGTCTACACAGAGGGAAAGTGCGTGATTGTGCACTACGTGGCATCAATTATCAGTGACCTGGATGAAAATACGAGTGTGACATCAAGAATGACAACAGAACAGATTCTGAAAGGGCTCCAGTCCCAAAGCCTAGCCTCTTCCCACAGCAGCTCTCTTTCAATGACTCAGGTTAGCTTGCATCACATCTCAAGTAGCAGCAAGAGAATGCTAAATCACCTTCTAGAAAGTCTTTAAAAAATGGAAATATCACTTCACTGTCAGAGTCTCCAAACAGTCTGTGTAACACACAGGAGAAGTGATAAGCTGTCATTCAACTGTTCTCCTTGGGCTGCATCATGGTGGGGAGAACTCTTGCCTAAGAGCTGATTAAAGACCAGTTTCCCTCACTCTGACCAGTATTATCTCTTAGAAAAGCAGAAGGAAATATTTGGTAGGGGCCACTGACTTTTATTAGAGACAAAAAAAAAAAAAAAAAAAAAAAAAAAAAAAAAAAAAAATTTTCCCCCTTTTTCTCTGTGAAAAAGAGAGCTTTCCTGTGTTACAGCCACTGCTGGGAAGTATTTCGCTGCCAGCTTTGATGCTCCATTCCAAAGCAGAGGCTCTTCCACGAAGCCTGGATCTCTCCAATGTGTTTGCTGTGATATCCAGTGCTTTGTTTGTCATAGGTGGTTTTTTCTTTCATATGTAGCTCATATTCAAATTATCTTGCATATGGCTCCAGAATCCTTAATTTCCCCACTTTTAAAATCGTGGTTTGTAATATACCAGACTCCACAGGCCACCAGGAATCTTAGCAAAGGAGATGTCAGAAAGAGTATCTTGTGGTTTCTCTAGAGGTTTTTAAATGCTGCAAAAGACAGAATGATCTAAAAGTACTCACTTCAAAAAGGATGTTATGGTACATTCAGAGGTACAATAAAAGAGATTATTTACAAAGCAGATTTTGTAAGAAGGTTTATTTTAATTAAGTGATTTTATGATGAAACATGGTCTTAAACAAAATAGAGATCAGTATGAAAATAAAATTATACACAGAAAATTATTTTCCCCAAATGTTTTTCAGTAACAGGGAATACAACACAACAGTCCTGTATTCAAATTATGTAAATCTGTGAGCAGTCAAACATTATAGTACATTCCTTGAAGCCAGGCACAATGACACATATTGTGTGCCCTCGTAACATACTCAACACATTTTCTATCTGTTCTCTCTGCCTCAAAGAAAAAAAAATCATGAAATGTAATGCAGTGTAAATGGGGAAAAGGGGGGGAAACCATCTTAATGCTTGAAGCATGTATTCCCCATTTAGTGTTTTGTGAAAGTCATGTACCAAATTCAGATGAAACTGAAACTGGCTTGTAGAAAGATAGAAAAACTTGAAATTGTATTTGATATACAGTCTTGTGAACACTTAACTGAAAAGTATGGAAAGGATTAAAAAATACACTGTGTTCTACTTAAAGCTTAGAAATAAATATGCACTCCGTATTCTCAGTGCCTGAAATTCTTTAAAAACAAAGAACTTGGTATAAAATTATATCAAGTAATTGTCAAAAATGAGGAAGATGCACCTATAATCCTGTTAGATTCTGGATGCCTGCATCCCCACTACAAAAACTTGTAAAACTACACACTTTCAAACATGCTGAATAACCCCAACTGTAACCTAGCAAGGGCAGGAACATCGACTGACTTGGGGGGTAGCAGTATTCCACACCACATCCCTCATTACCTTCTTTTCCTCTAAAGATCTCCCTTTCTATACTGTACCAGCCCTTACAAGTACAAATGCTCAGTCAATTATTCAAAAAGCAGCCTTGCTGATCAGGATTCATGGATGCCCTCAAGGCTATGCCATTCCCAGGAAAAACAGCGTGCAAAGAAAAAGCATCCTCCAAATCAAATCCTCCAATCAAAATGTGATTGATGTAGTTAGTATTATCATAATTCTCCACCTTCCTGCAATGCTGATAATAAACAACAGTCTCCTGAGTGTTGCAGACTCATTGCAGAAAAATGTCCTGCTGTGTGGAACTATTGAACCAGTATGGTTCAACATGGGAGCTGTCTTCTCATTTAGGACTTCAAGTTTATATAAAACTCCTACCATCTCAGTAACCATGTTGAAGAAGAAAACTCACAAGGAATTCTTATTTTGACTCTCATATTAACTCATTCAATAGTCTTGTCTTTTATGTAAAAAAACAGGTCAACCTTTAGGTACAGAAACCCATCATGAAACCCTCCCATCCTCTTACACAGTATTTTTTGGGATAATGTCATTAGAGTGTGAATGGAATCAAGACTTGCATCAGCTTGGCTAAAGCTAACCTAGGTCATTGAGAATATTCTAATTACCCTAAGTAAGCTTTGGAAATGCCACATCAATCCTTGTCTTTGTG